GCAAAACACAGAGGGCCCATGGAATAAACTAGATGCGCACATTATAGAGAAACAATGGAAACTAATTCTAGAAGTAAGAATTACAATAGTCTATTTTGTGTACTGCCTGCTTAAAGCTACATGAACATTATAACCAAAGCCCTTTTTATTCTTACTACTTTTGCCAAGAGAAGAGGAAATAAACCTAGTTTAGTGCTAGAGGAATAAAGGCAGGGCCATAAATACTTACCATGCATCACAGCTATAGAAAATAATCTCTCTTTTTCTTAGAGCAGACGATGATCTTTCTTATAGCTCAGTAATGCAAAAAGGGTAAGTGTTCCTCAAACCTGCTTTTTTCTGAGCAATTTAGAGGTTTACCATTGCTAATTACGATCTCAAGTTGAAAGCATGCTGGAGGACAGGAGGAGACTACAACAAGGAGAAATCTCGGCTGCAGTTTTGCTAAAACCTGGTCAGGAATAGGAGAATAAAGTAGAATTTGTCAACTCAACTGTGGGGCGCTATCTCATTATTCTGTTAAAGGCATCCGGTTTTCACAACCTCTGCTGTAAAACATTTTGATCAAAACTATGCTTTTGGTCGACGAAGTAGCGAATAGGTCTTTCAGTGCAATTCCCTGTTTGAGAAGGATTTTGTTCGCAATTGGCTGAGCAAATTCCCACTCACAGTAACAGCTGTGAACCCTGCTGAGGGCATCTGTTGGGTAGTTAATACTTCTTGGGAAGTATCTTGCTTTAAGTGTGTTTTGTTTACAAAAGGAATCCCTACGCTTTTTAACATAGTGTTAAAGATATTGCGCCTCCTGTTTGTTTACATATAATGTTCGATCCATGTTGTCTTTGTTCACTCGTACTGATTTTCCTCCCTACAGGGGGCTAACATATCGAAGGGCTTTTTTGATTGCCTTCAAGTTTCAATTGAGTTATAATAACAACAGCCTAGATACAGAAAGGTTATTAAATGAAGTGTTATAAGAGACTGCTGGCCCAATTCTTTCCTTTCTAGCCAGCAAATGTAAGGAGAAACTCCACAGAAGCTAAAATCCAAATGGACGTCAGAGTAAGCAGGACATACAAGAACAGCTTCTGCACCAGCAGTGAGAGGGAAACAGCCACCTCTCTTCCTGCGGCTATCACTTTTTAAGGAGCACTGTCCGCCCAGACTCTGCTGCCCCTTTGCACATACTCCGCACTAAATTCCTTTGCCCTGCTGGGGCTGTTGGAACCACGTTAATACTTTGGGACATGTCCAGGGATGCAAGTCTGGAACAGATGCAAGCCTCTTTCAAGTTATCTTGCCAATATAAAACCCAGGGACAGAGAGCTCTGCAAAAGTGGGAAAAGAAGTCATGTCAGAGTACCTTTAACAGCGCATCTCCAAAGCCTCTAAGGAAGTCTACGCTGTCGTTTAAACAGTAAGCCCTTCCCCAGGCCTGATTCACCATCATTCATGTGGTAAATACGCAAACAACAGTGGTTCAGGCATGAACATCCCCACCTTCCAGCGATGGAGGAACCCTCCGGCGTACCCTGTATGAGCAAGGCAGAGGTGCGCATCAGCGTAGGGATGGAGGCTGATCCCAGGAACACACTGCCCAGCTCACTGGCAGAAGATCTGAGGCCAGTTCTTCCTCAGAGTAATCTGAATGCCTTGAGACAGCAATAAGGTTGCAGAGGAGTATGGAGACTATACTGCTTAGGCCTGCTCTCTAACATGCACAAATGGGCATAAAGTAAGAGCAGTATGGAGGGAAATCATCTCCTCTTTGTCTACAGAAGTTGACTCCCATGACTAACAGCTGTTTAACTACAAATGTGAATATTAAAATTCTTGCTTAAATACCTGCAGAACTGGTGTCCAGCCTCAAAAGGGTCCCAACTGCAGAGTTCCCTCTTACAGATATGTTTTAAAAGGAGACTGAAGAATGTGTAGGCTCGCACTCTCTTGTGGACACAGGGCAGGAGGACATTTATAGTACAGGTTGGCTCAAGTAGATGCTGCTCATCAAGATAATACACACTTCCTATGTACGTACAAAAGCAATGGCATGTTTTCGGACAACCATTCAGAAATTTTAGGAAGAAAACAGGAGATACCACACAGCTGAATTCTGATGGTATGTGTCGGCAAGCTCAGTTTGAACATAAAAACACTGTTGTGAACACTCGCATTCATGGAAGAGTGCTACAGATTTAATGTTAAGTATGTAAGGATTTAATTTTGGCTTCCATTTGCAGACTAACACCTTGTGTAGTTTCCAGCAGTTACATGAACACATAAGTTTAGAATAGCAGCAGAAGAAACCAGTGTAATAATTACCAGTACTCCTTTTTTGCAGGATCTCTCCTTTTCTCTGTGTTCTTCCATCAAATTACATAGAAAATCTAGCAGATGTTTAGCTCATATGCTTATTAAACATAGTCTGAATAGGTCAGTATTATTACATATGTTACTTTGGTGAAGACATATTTCTGTTCAAATCTTGCTCCTCCATCCTATCCCAATTCTGAAATTGTTTTCCAAATATGTTTTCAAAGAGACATGATTACCATTTCAGAAATACATATCTGACATAGCAGCTCACAAAAGTAAACATTTATTTAATACCAAATAAAACTAAGCTCCTACTGGGTGTAACTTGCAGATCCAAGGCCTAAATCTGTTGTAAGCTGATCTGGTGCTCCAGACTTATTCCTGACATACGCGGATGTGAAACGACAACAGAATGAGATTCTCACAAAATAATTTATTCACCTGCACACCAGACGTGACCATTCTAGTCTGTTTTAAGAGCCAGGGATTGTGATGATACTTAGCTTACTTTGTACTGAAATCCACAATACATTAAAGCTTTCTACTGAAAGATGTTATATTACAATACTTATATTCTGTATCAATATTGTTACCTGTAAACCACTGTGATTTGGTAGCGCTACCCTTTTACAGGGCTGTGGCTGAGTGATATGAATGAATAGAAAGCAGGCTTTCCTGGTATACATAGTTCTGCAGTGACTGAACCTGGCAAGCAAGGTAAGTCACCTGAATCAGACTTCTGCAGCCTTCAAAATAAAGTGCTAGCTGAAACTGCACCTTTGATGTATATCGAAAACACTCTAAGAAAGCAGGCACTCTAGAGAATTGACTCCACTTTTGAAAGGCTTATTGTCTGTGTGTAGGATCTATACATTTGCTATCATACTAAGCTCACAGTCTTAATGCTGAGGATTAATATACATACACTATAAATTCTGTACACATGGGTACGATTGTATCTCATACAGCTGTATTACAGTAACACTATTGCTTTCACACTGCTAGTTTAATTTCTGATTTTTTCTCATTTTCTGCCTAATGTCAAAGATGTGATGTATAGATGAAGGATGACCAACTCTAAGCTTTTGCTGATCTACTGAATCTTATGCATATGGTTGTGAGCCCACAAAGTATAAGACAAAAAGGTCTAAAGAAAACATTATCAACATTTCAGAACAACTGCACGCTGGTGACTTTTCTTAAATGATTCAAAGTAATTACCACTTACTGGGGAAAAATAGAAAATTAAAGCAAATCAGCAACAAAAATATCACAGGACTAAACTAAAAATACAAACCAAGAGTATCTTGCCAAAACCACATAAAATGAAGAAAGGCTCCTGTTAGTATGCAAGAACAGTGACATCTTGTGGGGGTTTTACAGAAGTGAGTTTACAGAAGGACAGAGCAAACTAGTCTGCAATGTTGTGTAATTAAAAGAAACACTACTTCAGTAGTTCATTTAATACATATACCATTAATAATATTTGGTAGAAATTAGGCTTTATTGCTTTTATAATGAGGAACGAAAATTAAAAAAAAAAAAAAGCAGATAAATAGCTGGTAAGAAAAACTTTCAAAACAAAAATTAATGGAGTGGAGTGGAGTCCAAATAGTTCTGCAGCAGTTTCCTCTGCTCTCCCAGGAAGTAGTTATATTTATCACTTAAATATTACTCATCCAATATAATAATGGCATAAGGGCAAAGTTATAAGAGACTAGACAAGGAATTATGTTGTAAAGGCATACAGTCAAAAATAAAAATGACATCCATATTAAGTGTTTTTTGAAAACACACACATAGATATTTAATAAATAGAGCATGGACAACTATGCTGTTCCTTTCCACTGATTAATAGACTATGCCAAATTTGTTATATGTACTTCTTGAGAAAGCAAAGTTATATCAAAATGGAAAACTAAAATAATATATCCTGCTTTCCAGTATAGTATGCAAGATTTGGACCCTTCAGATTGTATCAGAGTATATGAGTTTCTGGAACAGATCTTCAACTGCCATAGTGTCATAACTCAGCGAAGATACTCAACTCTGACAGTTTACAACAAGCAAAAATGTTTTGATTTTTTTTAAACAAGTCTGCACCCAAACTAAGTTATAAAAACATAACATTTACAACTTGGAAGATGATAGATTTTCCTACCATAATGTTTATGTGTTCGTCTTTCTTTTACCTGAGTAACCTAAGTAAACAGATTACAAGGCAATTTAAACGTATTAGCTAATACAAGGTTTACTGGACTTCTTTATATATAGAAATGTACTTTGACACTATTTGCAGTTTTACAAATACAAAATGAATAAGAATTTTAAAACATATTTACTGAGCAGCCATGTCTGATATCTGTACAGATCAACAGGTGCAATGAGATTATGTACAGAATTTATCATTTAATTTTTAAACAGCTTTTGTGCAACCTGGCTATAATGTGCATTTAAGAACTGCTGTCAACATCACAGATCTGTAATATTTACTGGTGCCAGAAATGGAGAGTACAGAATAGGACAACGTCTCCTAAAATAATACTGTGCTATGCAGACATCTGTACATAATTCATACAGTGCATGTTACTCAATGCCTGATGAGGAATAATAGTTAGCTGCTAATACAGACACGGGCGTTTACAGTTATTACATTTGTTATAGTAAATATGGACAAATGAACTTTTCCATGTATAAACATTAAAAGAAAGGACTTGAATTAGGAAGTTATGTAATAATTAAAGAACAGAAGTTATGTAATAAATAACAAAACTTTCAATTCAACTTGCGGAATATTAGTACAGTAGGAAAAAATCCTTTACAGTAGCAAAAAATCCTTTACAGTAGCAATGAACCCATTCAGAAGCATTGTCAAATCAAAGGTAATTCAGTTTTATTTTATAATCATAGCAACTGAAAGTAAAAAAAAAAATCAGCATGAAGAAAATTTAGTTTATCTCTGATAGTCTGGTTAGCGTACTTGTGTTACTGTACCTGTCATATGTTTCCTCCTCTTTTTGTGCTCTATTAATTCTATCACTTTTTTTTTTTTTTTTTTAATTTCTTTAGTCCAGCATAAATCCATAAACACTAAAGCACAGTGAATGTGCAATTTGCAGACTGGTGTGAGTGAAAAACCATAGGAATATAATTACTTTTACGAGGTAAGCTTGGAGTAACTTGGAGGAGAAAATTTGCGCTTCAAGTACTTGAGAATGTAAAGTGGAAGACAGCTTACAACAGTGATTGCTGACACTTTCCACAGGAAGGTCACAGTTGTGATAAAGGCAACATCTGCAGAAACAAAAAAGGAAAATAAGTAATGAGAGCTGATAACATGGAAACTGGAACTTCCAGAGTGCAAAGTCAATAAAACTCTCTTAATTGTTTGGTTATGCTATTGTTCAAGACCATGCAAAATTTAAAAAAAAAAAAAAAAAAAAAGCAGGGGGGAGGGCAACAAAACAACAGAAAGAGAAAGTTAACGTCAACATTTTGTTTTTGCCAACTATTTTCTTTAGACAGGAACTTCAGAGTTCCTTTATGGTCCTTACACTGTTTTGCAGCACAAAATAATTTTAGGGGAAACAGAATCTCAGTTTAAAAGCAAGACTTTCTCATAACAAAAAGTTAAGCCAGGTTATTTTTCTACTACTAAGAACGATTTTTACCTACTATAATACAAATTCCCAATCAGAAATTCTGCTACCATTTTGGATACTTATTCCATATTCAGATTATTTTTCTCTGAAACAGTCACAATAACTAGACTGAATGATTCTTAAAACCTTAGAGATTAAATTAGAGCCCCAAAATTTAAAGGGAAAACAATGTAGTGCTATTGCCACAAGACACAGTAAAAAGCTGTTTTTTGTGACAAACATTAACAAGAATGGTGACACCCTACACTTGCTACTGAAATTTTTTGACTCTATTTGCAATGGTCAAGTCATAATTAATTATCATGGAAAGATCCCAGAACCCAGGTAACCTGAAGAACTGGTTTGTTTTTTTTTTTTTTTTGCTTTTTTCCATTATTTACAAATGTGTATATTAAATAATTTACTACTCTCTAATAAATTTTTAAAGACTTAAAAAAAATTCAAGAAAAGTTAAACTTCACCTACCTAAGAAAGCTCCAAAAGACACTCTGCCTATACCTGTTTCACAAAAGAGAGAGAACGAAAATGAAAGGATAGAAAATACGGAAGTTATGTGGAAAAAATCCAAACAGGTTAGCTACACAAAAAGGAAATGAAAAAGATGTTAGTAGCATTAACTGGAATATTATTGCCTTTCACAACAATCAGAATATTTTAAACAGCAATTAAACCAAAACATTTTGAAAATATAGAGATTTTATATTTGGTCATGTTTTAAGGTTTTAAGTAGGTAGGCAGTTTTCTTGCATCTGACTTCAAGGTATAATTTACTGTATAAACAACTTGATCAGAACTGCTTTAATGTGAATGAAAATTCCCTTCAGAAAATGCAGTAGAGAAATGCTTTACTGCTCCAACTTTACTCATGAAAAATACTTTGTGTATTAGATTTCAATGTATAAACTTGTTATACAGTTTTAGCCTAAGCCTGCTTAGACATACTAAAAGCCTGTGTAACATAGAGAGACATGCATAATAAGGCCATTGTGTGCAATTAATTCAGAAACCTAAAAACTGATTTACTTCCATGAGTCAGAGCTGTAGAGCAGTATCAAATATTCGTATCTGTCTAATTTGAGTGCCCTGTCATACTTACAATATAATTTCTTTGGGAAGAGATGATGCTTATAAGTAACTTCATTGAAAGAAACAGTTTATTTGCTGATGAAGTCAAGCACTGTTGGACTGGATTGTTTTCCCTGGTACATGGAAATTGTTCTATACCTTGAACTGTAAACTGTACCTTAGGTTTATACTACATTACATGCACAAAAAAAGGTTCCCTCCCCCCAGTTATAATGTGACAGATTAAATAAGAGTAAAGCATTAAGCAGAAGTGAGACTAACTGAAATGCATTTCCTCACATTAATATCTTTACAAAAGCCCATGAAATTGCAGCCTTTTCAGTATACTTAATGATGAAAAATACAGAAGTCCTCCAACTGCAAGCAGCTATACAACCATCTACTTACTCACTGAACAACACCTACAAAGGATAGAAGGCCTGGCTGTCACCGATACTAAAGACTTACAAAGGTGAAGCAGCAAGTTCTGCTTTATGAAGTTCCTGGAAGTTTGAACTAAAGAGCCAGTACCTGTATCTATTCTTGCTTGTTCCTTTAATTTATAATCTGGCTGTGGAGATTCAGGCAACAACCCAATAATCTCTGTCAAAGAGTCTGTGCATCAGTGTCAGAGAAAAGAAGAAGGTACACTGGCAAACCTGAAATAATGTACAAGTACCAAGCCCAGCAGGGTTGCTTCTTCATTAGAATTTGACTCCTGAGAAATCTGGGAAGTAATAGAACACCCGGGACAGGCAGTGAAGCATTTACTGATTAAAAAAAATAATTATATAATGTAAATACACTACCCTAGTATTGAGCACTTGGGACATGAGAGAGTGAAAGCAGAACTATGAGACTCCTAGAAACTACCATGTAACATTTAATTCTGCTATGAGAAGTGACAACCAAAGAAGGGCAACTCCTTACTCATCAGCTCCTGGAAAACAAGAGAGAAGGAGCTGGAATCTACTCCTTGTGTGGTATAATCAAAATTGTTATATATATTTCTGTAAAAGTTACATTTGTGAAATCACACTAAGATAGTTGTTTTTACTGAAGGATAATTTGATATAAAAAGAAATATGTATTATTTTGATGCTCAGATTCTTGACTGCTAAGATTTGCAGTTAAAATGTGTTCTTTCATCTCATGAACTATGAACAATCAGAACTTAAGATGCAGTATGGCATACTGCAATTTAAAGCAAAGCAAGCTTCATATAATTATGAAATAATGATTCTTAAAGTATCTATCCTAATAGCCTTCTGCCTCTCTCTCTAGCAATACTTCAACTCTTTTAAGCTTGTGGGTTAGATCTAATGAGGTCCACTTGGTCTGGCATACAAAATAATTCACCAACTCCGTGAAAGATCCTGATTTTTTTAATCATATCCATTTCAATAGTACAAATCTCAAAGCCAATTTACGGTATGCAGTTTGGACTGTCAAGATCAGATCAAGGATGGGAAAAGCATGCGTGGTTTGAGTAAAGTTTATCATCTAGATAAATCATACTAACAGGAATAAAGATTGTCAAACTCTAGGAGAAAAGGATAAGAGAATATTTTAACCCAACATTAATTAAGCCTAATTTCAACTCAGTCATGCTTCTTATGGAGAAAACTGTATTTCACAAAGCATAGCATCATGTATTCTTAACTTAAAAAATGAGAAAAAAATATTAAAAATATAAAGCACAGTTCTTTGCTAAAATACTTTTACTATTACTCACCAAAGTATTCATTTAGAAATGCAAGAGAGGCCACATAGCAGCCAAGACTGAGGAATTCAGCCACCACCATTAACCAGTGCCATGTTCGTATGGTCAGTGCAACCATCAAGAGCTCAGTCAAGATTAGGGCAGTGAAGGAAATGGCAACGACATGTACAAATTCAGATTCAAAAAGCAGCAGGGCTCCATACATCAGAATACCACCTAGGAAAGGCACACAAAATTAACAATACACTGAGCAATGAAATTTCAGTGTACCAGTTTTTACAACTGCACACTGAACGTTTGATTGCTTATTATGAAAACTTGCCCAGTAATTTTTTTTATAAGGTAACAACATCGATCTTTCTAAAAGAACAGAAGTGGTATTTACTGTACTTTGTGCATGTGAAATAAAACAACCAAAGTAAAGCTGTAAAGAAATAAAACTATTAGAAAATTAAACACCTTTTAGGGCAATATATCTGATGAACTGTTAATTAACCTCATTTTGTCAAGTGCTACAAATAAATGAGATATTGTTGAAAGTGTAATTACTTTTAACTGATTACATAATTCAGATTTCTTCAACAGTACTTCTGTCATTCCATGAAAGAAAACTACTGTGTAAATATATGCAATGTGATAAGCACTCATTAAAATTTTTCTGGATTAGCATTTAATTAAAAACATGTCCTTTTTTAGGTGACACGCATCAATAAAAATACCAATCCACACTGTGTTTTGAATAGGCCTGGCACACTACAGGAATATCGATTTACGAGATAAACAGAAAGCAATATATGTAACTGCTGATGAAATGTTAAGCTTTGGGAATTCAACCTGCAGCTGAAAAACAATATTGCTAATAGCAGACAAAAAATTCTCAGTTCAGTAAAATTAGGACTCTCTCCTACCTTGGTAAATACTGATTAAAACCCAGATGAGGAAGGTCTTAAATGACAAAGATCTTCCCTAAGGGAAACAAGTGAGAGGATAGTTAAACACAACTTTAAAAAAAAAAAATCTACTCAGTTCATATATTTTTAATAATTAATCACTAGAGAGACATTCTACAAGTAAAATAAGCAGTCTTTGAAGTGATACAGGCTAAAAAGCTTCTACTTTTTTATGGTTCTTCATTGCAAACTTGTATAGAAATCACACAAAGTCTAAATTTGGGGGTAGGACAGTTAAGGCCTTAAACAGCAAAGATACTTTACCTTGCAATGCTCCGGCTGGTTTTCAGAGGGATAATTACAGTAAAATTAGTTTATTTTTTATTTAAAGTTTTTTATTTCTGTTTTGTAAAATGTAGTCTTCCAGAAAAATAGCATTGTGTACCTACTGACCTAAACCTCAAGCAAAACTGTAGTTACTAGTCACTTCCAAATGTTGGATAAACTGTCTATTTGCATTCATAGAATAAACATATGACTACTATAAGTTTTCATCAAGTAACTATTACCAAATACATTTTAAATCTTCTTGTGATTTTGAATGTTCTAGATTGAAACATATTCATAAATCAAAGAATAAACGCTGTAAATGCGCATATGACTTGCATTCTGTGAGGGCACTGATTAGAATTGCAGAGTTGAAAGGATACATATTGAAAAGGATAAAAAGGCAAACAAAGCAGTCATTTTGGCACAAAAGAAGCGATCACTCTGGAACAGGAAAGAACCAGCACTTTACAAAGAAATGTGCTTCACTGCAGTGATGAATTAACTCCTTTTATTACTTCAGTATAGGATAAAACATTTTCTTGGATAGATAGAGTTCATGGCAAGGTGTTAAAGACATTGTCATAATTCTGTATATAGTCTAGAATGTTGGTGACAGATGGAACATATGGGGAAAAATTCTCATACAAGCACAAATAAACATTAGAATTTTTTTTTCTTCTATGAGTGCCTTTGAGTACTGGACACTGCTTCCACCTTCGACCATAGCTCCCAACTAGCAAGATTTGTGAAATAAGAATGAGCTTGAGTTTTGGTTCACCTTTATGGAACTAGAAGGGGTAAGTCACTCCTGAGCCTCTAGGGAATGGTGCACAGCAGGCTGTGAATCATTTTCAGATGGAAGCAGGGAGCCCTCTTACTTGTACTTCCTTACAAATTTTCATCAGCTTTTCTGCTAGAAGTCAGTAGGAGCCCCAGGAACAGTAATACTGAATCAGTGTGTGCTCCAGGGTATGTGGCCACACCTGTCTCTCTGAACCTTGCTAATTTTCTCTTCTTGCACCGAAGGAAGTGTGTCGATGACTTGTGCCAATATATCTTATTCTTTTAAAAATCTAAAAAGCATTTTCATCACTAGCACATCCCAGAAAATAAACCAATTCCTAGGTATACAATTATAGTCTATGTCAACACGTTTGAATAACACTAGCTGAACAGCATTGGTAGAGATTTGCATTTAGAGTCCATAATTTAAAAAATGATGTGCAGAAATACGTAGGCTTCATTGTGTCATGACTAAGGCAGCATGATCATAAATTTTTGTAATAAACACTCACAATAAGATTACCTTATAATAGTGAAGGCAAATGTAGCACACAAATAACTTTTTGTACTACTCATCCATAATCATTCACTGATCATCATCTGCCCCACACAATGGACTGAAGTGTACTCTCCAGTTCCTCCACATTCTCTTTTTTTTTTTTCTTCTGAAGAGAAGTATTTGGGTTCTACTTATTTAATATTCATAGAGGTGCAACATAACCTGGGAAAGAGAGTGATTCAGCATCTCCAAGACCTGTCATTTAAGCCTAAACAAAAAACTTAGCCTGTATTCATCTACCCATCCTGGGCAGTTTCCGAGTACAGGTTAACTTCTATCTTTGAAAACAAGATGCTTCCAAGTTCCTTCAACAGATTATCACAGGCAAGCTTACAACTGCCTTTAGCAGGTGTAAGGCCATGCTTTTTTGAGATTAATCATAGGCTGAAATCTCACAAAGAAACTTTAAAGATTCTGAAGAGGAAAAAGGGAGAATTAAGATCTTCAAGAGATGAGAAAAAATTCTCCCAGACTAACATAGCTAATAGCTAATTTCATATAATTAAAAAGACAAAGGCTCTGAAAAGTTTGGACCCTCTTCGACTACAGTCTGCTTTTGCACTTTTAGACACATCTTCAAAGAATCTGCTATCCCTAAAAAGACTATCTGCTTCTGCCTTGGATCATAACTTTTCTAGTTGACAGTTTAAGATGGAGAAGTACTTTTCAAAAAACTTATGAAAACAGAATCTTGAGATTTGTTTCACTTTTGCCAGCAAAGAAATCATATACCTTCATTGTTTGCACATATGTGCAAATACACAGAAAGCAGTACCTACAGATGATTCAGATAACATATAGCAGTTAGAATCATAGAATCGTTTAGGTTGGACAAGACCTTTACGATCATCCAGTCCGACCGTTAACCTAGCACTGCCAAGTCCACCATTAAAACATGTCCCTAAGCACCACATCTACCCATCTTTTAAATACCTCCAGGGATGGGGACTCAACCACTTCCCTGGGCAGCTTGTTCCAGTGCCTGACTACCCTTTCAGTGAAGAAGTTTCCCCCAATATTCAATCTAAACCTCCCCTGGATAGAAATTGGAAGTATGAGCATTAATGAAAAGAAAGGGTTGGTTTAGACTTTCTGGAATGACCACACTCATTGAATTCCAGGCATGATTTATTTTCTCTTTCTAGCACTTGGATAACTTGAGTGCCGCGTGGAACCAGCTGTGGGTCTCCTGTGTAGTCCCTTAACAAAGCTGAGTGCTTAGATCTTCTTCTGTAAGATTTAGAATCTGTGACAGGTTACGGAAATTAGAATTTACCCAGATATCCCCCCCTCAAATTACTTGGACGGAATACATTGTTTCCCAGGTTGTTTCCCTTCTTCACCACTGGTGTCATTTATAACTAAATTATTCCATTAGCACCAGGCAGCTCTCCAGCCACTCTTCCCCAAGCCTGTAGCGTTGCATGGGGTTGTTGTGACCCAAGTGCAGGACCCAGCACTGAGCCTTGGTGAACCTCATACAGTTGGCCTCGGCCCATCAATCCAGCCTGTCCGGGTCCCTCTGTAGAGACTTTGCACCCTCCAGCAGATCAACACTCCTGGCCAACTTGGTGTTATCTGCAAACTTACTGAGAGTGCAGTTATCAATATCTGTTATTTAAAGAAAGTCAGCTTTTGGAGAGGTCAGTAGTTATTTCTGAGGGTTGGGGGTGGGAATCTATACATTAATCTTCCAGTTAAAAAGGAAAAAGGAGCTGTGAAAAAATAAGCATAAATAGCTCCAGATCAGAGATCCTGGGGCCAGACTGAAAACAACTTTGACATCAACATACCTTCATGTTTGAATTATTTCATCAGTCCAACCATTGGTGAATTAACAAATAATAAAACCGAGTGGAACACTTCGTACTATGGATTATTTCCATAGTTCAAAAGTCAGCATGACATTAGTTGTGCATCTGTCTTGTATGAAATACCTTAAGAAAATGATTGTAAGAATTCCCAGTTTTGCACACTGGAGATTTCAGCATTTGTTCATATCTGAGCACTGAGGACGTTCATACCTTTGTGAGATCCTTATAAAGTTCTGGATATAGCAATGCCATTTCTGGCTTCACATCCTGATCCAATACTAGAGAGAAGACTGGAAACATAGTATATATGGTTGCATACCTAGGTGAAAGGAAAGTACACTTTTGTATGATATGATTTTAAACTGATCTACTGAGTTCAATTATTCTTTTTCTGTAAGTGGAATTAAACTAGTTCTTCTACGCAGTATTGAGGCAGCTTACCAATACGGCTTTACACATGCAACCTGCTCTTGTGCTTCTGAGAGCTGCCCGTTGTGAGAAGTTACAGAGCTTTTATACATTCAAAAACAGTAAATACATTTCTTTCATATGTATCTCTATATCTATACATCTATATCTCACTCAAGCTTATCACCTGTTACCATACTCCCTGTGCACTTTGGTCAACCAGTTCAAAGATCTGACATATAAATTCATCCACAGACAATGGCATGAAAACTGAAGAAAAAACAAGCACTATATTCCGGACATCATGGTATAGGTAGGTGGATGAACAAAAGTTTTAACAGCTCTGTAAGTGGTTTTGGATTTTAGTATGCACATGCCAGATGTATAATTTAGTATGTACTTTCCTAAACTTAGCACAACTATTTACAAACATTTTGGAGAGGTCTACTGCTTGCCTCTGCAGACTGTGGTATAATCAGACCTTGATTTGACTATGATTTAAGTTACTATTGAGTTAAATTGTTATTGTTTACAAGGAGTATAAAAAGAAGGTCTCAGGACAGATGGGGTAGAGAGCAGGGACAAACACAAATATATGCAATTCCTTCAGCTGTATGCCTTGGGGAACCATGTTACTAAAGCAGTTTCTGCAAGAAGACCAGGGTGCTCCTGATCCTGCATACATTCACCTGAACTGAAATCTATGCGGCGGGCTTGGGTAGCGCACTCTCAGAGGAAATTTCATAGTCAGTAGCTTCAGCTCCATTTTTAACAGAAAAATCTGTGATTCTCACTGAGGCTTGTATCTGTGTAACAGTTGAAACTGGTCTGGGAGATTTCCTCTATTGTTTTTACCCCGTATGTGAAAAAGGTTATATGGTATCTTCTTCTAAGGCTATGCGGATCCCTCTCGTCAGAGAACTGATAATGAGGCCTCCCCCCTCATACAGTGCATATTCAACCTAGTTTGACTTGACTTCGCGACTCATTCCAGGTTTTGGTAGCATTCCAGTGATAAATGTATGAAAAACGTGGCAGACACCAACTACATGATGTTATTTAACAAGTTAGTTTGCTATATTTATTACCAGATATCGTAACTGTTAGTTTTGACTTACCCTACCATTAGGAATCCTTGGTACAAGGGAACAGATGCAAAATAGAAGACTGATGAAAATACAGCCTACAAAAAAGCAGATAATTATATATATTTAATATAATTCTATATACAAAACATTACAATAAAGAAAAAATTAACAATACTGGTTGATTAAGATTTTCTGACATTTCAAAGACAGACATAGTGTTTTTATTCAGAAAACAAAGTTTTAAATACCTGCATAGTTGAAATAATAAGGCCTCGGTGCATGACAAATTGACCAAGTGCTGCTGATCTTTTGTAACTGTTTCGACCATGTACCATCAGCAGCCTACCTATATGTTTAAACTGAGTGATAGAAAAGTCAGCTGCTAGGGAAGCTTGTTTTCCTTCCTAGAACAAACCAAAATATTCCAAATATGAAGCCAAGTGTAAAAAGATGTGTTTCAAATTTCAAAATTCTAAGTGATAATTAATTTTAAAAGTCAAGTTTTCTCCCACCTCAGAAATCAACCCTGCAAGAGACACAAAGGACAATTTTTTGTGCATATTCTAAGATGCAGGGGCTGTAACAAATAAATTTAATCACCTATCCTGGTTCTTTCAGGTAAATGCAACAAAGAAATAACTATAGTGTTTTCTGCTTTGCTTTTTATATTTAAAAACATAAAGCAGAGGACATAGAAGCAAAGAAAATATTAGTTCAAAGACTAAACATTTTTATCATCTTACAGCATACTTTAATTAGAAATGATCAATTCACTACTGTTTAAGAATAAAGCTTCTAATCCCATGTTACTATACTACTACGTGGCACATATTTGACAATGAAACTGTTAACATTACCTTGCCTTCAATTCCAATTCCACAGTCTGCTGCTTGGATCATGCTGACATCATTTCCTCCATCACCTGGAAAATGTCACTGCAATATTCAGCTCTTCAGAGGTTTTACTCTCCTGACCTTACAATATTTTAGAAACCTATTATATACCTTTAAATTCTTACAAATAATCTATGGATCATGATTAATTACTTCAGAAATCAAGACTTTTTCCTGTGGAATAAAGAAGATAACCACACCTTTCTCATGGAGTGGCATTTTCTGCTACAGCTACATAATACTTGGCTGTTGATAAAGAAGTCGCCTTGGTTTTGTTTCAACTGTTTCTCAATGGTGCCATCTACTGCTTAAGTTTATTATGGATTTTAGCTACTGCAAATGAAGAACGTGCCAACAGTTACCTATTGCACACGTGCGTTTTCCAGTGTGGTGCTGTAACAGTTTCACAATATGAGCTTTTTGGGTGGGAGAACACCGGCAGCACACTACAGCAGGACACTGACAAGCCAACTCTACAAATTCATGCTCATAATACTTCAGACAAACCTAAGGGAAAAAAATACACTAGCATTTACTTACGATTAAATACTACTACATGTAGTCTAACACAAAAAACACAGTATAAAGAATTCTTTTATGAAGTTTTGCTTGCACAACATCCATCTAGGAGGAGAAAGCCACATTCTCCTGACTGTGGCTTTATTATTTTAAACTGACATTCTCTTTCATTTAGAGAGCCAACATGCTTTGGGGTTAATAGAAGAGGCAATACTAAAGCATGCTGCATACAAATCCCATTCTGTTACCATACAGGAGACTATAGAACCAATAATATTCGCCCATCTAGAATATACATCCTCTGATAAGCACTCAGTGAAAAACAAAAGTATCTCTAAGGACAACTTCAAGTATGGGCAAATGTTGGAAAAAAATTTAAGAGCATGACGACCCCGATACTTTACTTCCTGAACATAAGTATATCGATAAATGTAATTTGACAGAAACCAAGTTCTTACCTCAAGTGAGTCCCCAGATATCACCAAGGCACAGTCATGCTTCCTCCTAAAGGCATTTAGTTCTAAGTGAGCCTCTCCTCGAGTGGTAACCTTCAATAAAAAACACCTGCTTAAAAGATTTTGTTACATTCTTTAAAAAACCCTGCCTAAATAAATCAGGTTGAGAACTCATACCCAGAAGGCCTTGGTTTTTCAACTTTTATCCCAGTGCAAGCCCAATACCCATGGGATGTGACTACAAGCCTCCAATCTTATGGAGTGAAAAAGTAATCCTCAAACAAGGAAAATCTGTGTAGTCAGCTTAACTGGTTCCTCACCAAAGTAGACCAGGGTTAAAAAATTAATGAATTAATTACATTAAAATATCTTAAGTTCAAGCTGACCTCAATCTTTCCATCTTGGCAGGGCTAGAGAAAAAAATAGACAAAAAACCAAGCAAACCCCAAAACTTTTCTTTATCAACCAGTTAAACATGTTCTTAGAATAATGCAAAATATTCATATTAATAGTTCCTTCAGTTTGGATAAGTAGACCCAGATTTCAAAAGGCACATAAAAACGCTCGCTAGTACTAATCCTTTTGGATCTTGCATGAGTATGCAAGCAGGATCAAGTGCAATAATACAAAAGAACTACATCATGGATTTTTTTTTTTTTTTATTTACACAATTATTGTTTCAGAAAGGCCCAGCTGTGAAATGCAAAAAATGGTCAAAGGTTACCAAATGGATTTTGGAAGGTTTTGAGCTAGAACACAGAACATGAAAATTTTAAATTATAACCAGATTTTGAGAAGATTGGCAGTTTTGGTTCTCCCCCCCCCCCCAAAAAAAAAAAAAAATGTTTTTAAATTCCCCCCCCAAAAAAAAAATATAAAACCAAATTTTGGAAAAGTTGGCAGTTTTGGTCCCCCCCCCCCCCCCAAATAAAAGATCAATGTATTTTAGATCTACCACGCAAGAGACAGTTCCAAGCACAGAATAAAACACAAACTCTGATTATGCTTCTAATTTTGGCTCTGTCAGCACTTTGATTAAATAACTTTGAAAATATGTGAGTCTTAATTACACTGAACATGAAGTTTTGTCTTTGGCCCACTATTACCCAGAATCAGATGCAGGCCAAAGACATTTCTCCCTCCAGATGGGCTCTACTACACATAAAATTTGAGTTACATTAAAAAGCATCTGCAAACAGAAAAAAACATACACATGCCTCAATTCAGAATTTCTTTCCTCCTTTCCCACAATTAAACATGTAAAGAGAACGCTCCTTGTCTGCCAGCTGTTGGGAACCCCAGATTGCATTGGTCCATTATAATATTTCTGCATTACAGAGATTAAGAGATGTCAGCACTTGGCGCACACTGATGAGCAGTAACTGCCCTCTCTGTTCTACCTTTCACCTAACAGAGGTATTCTTTTTTAATTTGTAAATACATCTAGAACAATATATATGTTAATTTCATTACAAAATAGAGAAGCTGAGACTTCTAAGAATAAAAAGGAAGAGTGTTAAAAACAAAATGCATCTTTTTGGGAAGCCAAAGTAGTAAATAATTTTTTATTTACTAATTTATAACTAAATAGAAGTGTTAGAGTGCTTGGTATTTTCTTACATTAATCCAGTAGTTATTTCTTTGCAACAAATACAGCCACAGAAATAATTCTATATAAATCCATTTTCTAACTAATTTAAAACTTTACATACTCTAAGTTAGCACAGTTTTATGCTGATCTCTTATTACCAGTCAAGGTAATGAAAATAAAAATCTGACTCAACTGAATAGATTTTGCTCAGGAAGACTTAATTTGTGGTGTTACAACATGGAAAGGTCAACAAAAATTGATCTGAAGTTTCATCAGAAGCATTAATAATTTAATTGCAAATAGTAGTCTGCAGGGCCTAATTTGCCATTCTGATGCTTCAGAAGAAACTACATTTACATGTAAATTATATTCATATAATTATTTCTGTAGGTGCAAGTGGTTCATTTAGAACAAACACAGACATATTATGTCTGATCACACAGCATCAATCAATGTCTGGAAAATCTATTTTTGTTTGGCTTCAGTAGAGTTGATGCTGTGCAAATATAACCAAAATGTATAGAAAAAGATATTCTGTTTACCTTTCTAACAATTATCTTAAACAGTCTGTTAATAAAATGCAAATATATATCACGATATAAAAAAAATTAGAATTTTCTCATACTGATTTGAAAGACTTCTATACAGAGGACGTTGGCACCACAGTTTAATTCAGGATTAACTCTGCTTGAGTCTAAAGAGTTCTATTAATGAAAATGCTAGAACAAGGAAGAACCACATTCAGATAGCCTAAATTCCTGGACACAGCTCAGCACCTCACACAGACCCCTCTCCATCATTATTCAGAGGTACCTTACTATGTCCATTCTATAAGTGAAGAGTGTAAAACACATGTTGAACCTGGGTAACCCAAACATGGCTACAAACATTTCTGTAGCATATCAACAAATCTAGAAACAAGCACCCTTAAACAGAAGCAATGCTTTGTAATTCTACAACCCTGAATAACAACCTAAGTACTGCTCTCTTGACCAGTATTATGATACTCAGTACAATAACCCATCGATTTTCAACAAGCAGCCAGCTACTACTCAAATAAAGGAACATTGTTATTAGCTGTCCTTTGATGAACCAACAAAAAAGTTAGAACTATACTTACAGGTCTGAAAATGTGAATATCTTGAGTCCTAGACACTAAGTGAGAACTTTTCGCAATGCAAGTTGCTGTCTCCAGTTTATCTCCTGTTAACATCCATATCTGCAAAGTAATGTAAAAGTTTACTCCATTGGACATTAATGTGTCTGTTCTCCAAATCTAAATGACATCTCTCTCCAGCATTTTTCTGGTACCTTTTGGGATTAGATTACCAGAGAAAGTGTACTGATATGTGCATTTTTAATTGAAATTAATGAGCAGTTTTTACTGCAACAACACACAAAGCAGAAAAGAACTGTCTTTACTTCAGGCAGCTCCATTCCCCTTCCCTTCTCACAAGGGCCAATGACTCAATTTACACGAAGACAAGGTGAAACTCTGGGGAAACCCACTGGCATAGCTGAACAGCAGGGAAAGCATGAAAGCCTTTCCCTATGGCCCTGATACTACCTTGATCAAAAGAGTGAGGATGCAGACAACTACCAAAGGGATAACATTTGTCAGCAAAACGATGCGACACAACAGTCTGTGATCCTAGTGAGAATCTATCAGAAAGCAGCAGCCAAGCAATGAGACAGCATATCCTGAAGGAAGAGCTACAGTCCCAATGCTCCGAAGAGATCCTGCCCACTGACCACACAGAACTTGGGTGAAGGCATTAAAGTTTATGGAATAAGGTTGAAGATACATCTGTTCTTAAAGTGAGACAGCTCTCTCCCCCTGAGCTCCTTAACACCAAGAAAGCTGAAGGACATCTGGATGAAATACCATTAGCCCTAGACCAAATAGAACAGACCACACAGGAAGAATGACTTAAGCTGGAGGAGTTATTACCGGATAGTTACTAAGTTAACAGTTGCAATTTTATTAAATTGTAAGCCTCTGTCTCCCTCTTTTTTCTGTACATCTCAGGTAAGATCCTTTTCATTAGTGTCTATATGGGTCAATGAATGGACAAAAGACTCATGTTTTCTCATCAGTAACTGAGTAATCTATAATTTTTATGACCTATCTACAGCTACTATTGTGTTTCCAGCCTACTACAATGTTGTTGTAATTAAAGCCAGAACAGCTTTAATGCTCTGAAATCCTAGAACTAATCATTTAAAAAAACCAAAAAAACACCAAAAAACAAACCACCCTAAAAACTGTCCCACTGTTCTATTCCTATTTGTAGCAGGACATACCTAACAGTCAGAAGTGACCACATATAGAAGAAATATCAAGAACAAATGAGAAAATACTATACATGAAGTCCTAATATATAAGTACTTTGCACTAGTCACACCGTACTAAAAAGAAATTTGATGCAATGATAAAGCTTTAATTCATACATATATTTTTCTAATTGTGCACACCACTGCATTACCAGCTAATTCACCTGAAAGCCTTTGGGCAACAGGGATTAATTAAAAACAGAATAACAAAATAGCAGACATGGGAAGGGGCCTCTGGAGATTATCTAGTCCAACTCCCCTGCTCAAAGTAGGGTCAACTACAGCAGGCTGCTCAGGACCACGTCAAGACAGTTTTGAACATCTCCAAGGATGGAGTCTCCACAAACTCTCTGGGAGACCTGCTCCAGTGTTTGAACACACTCACAGTAAAAAATTTTCTTCTTATATTCAAGTGGAACTTCCTTTATTTCAGTTTGCATCCGTTGCCTGTTATGCTTTCACCGTGCACCACTGATAACGGCCTAGGCCTGTCCTCTTTGCACCTTCCCTTCAGGGATTTATAGACATTAATAAGATCCTCCTGAGCCTGCT